AATATCCGGCTCGAATCGGCCCCAAGGGGCCCGTTCTGAAACGGCTTCCGCCTGGTGCGGGGGCAGGATATCAAGTATCCGTCCCACGTTGGCCCAAAGTGGCCCCATGGGGCAAAAGCCCCCGAGGTGGCTCTCCTCTGGCCTCGCGGTCTGGGCCAGAAAAGGCTCGCCCGCCCATCCCTGTCCCTGGTATAATTTAGGTCGCCATGGCGGCGTCTCGGTCTTCGCAGGCTGCGCGCCTTTGCTGGGCTACACGCCCGTTCGCAGGCCACGCGCCTATGCTCTACTACGCGCCCGTTCGCTGGTAACGCGCTTTTGCTGGGCTACGCGCCCGTTCGCAGGCTGCGCGCCTTTGCTGGGCTACTCGCCCGTTCTCTGGCAACGGGCCTTTGCTGGGCTGCGCGCCTGTTCGCAGTCTGCGCGCCTTTGCTGGGCTACGCGCCTGCTCGCAGGCTACGCGCTTTGGCCCGAGAGCCTCAGCGCCAGGTGGATCCCAAACAGGATGCCCTTCGTATCGAGACCCAGCACAACCTGGCCGCACAGTTGTGCTGTGGCTGTGCGCCTGGTCGCACGCTGCGCGCCTGTGCCGGGCCATACGCCCATTTGCGTCGCTAGTAGCTCTGTGTGCGAGCTGCCGGTCACCGCCGGTCACTGGTGGCCATGTGCGTGGGTTGTGCGTGAACCCCTTCGCGGGCCGCGCCCATCAGGGCGACGTCGCCCGAATCGATCGGCGCTCAATCTTTCCACCATCATCACTTCCCTCCTCTCTTCTTTCTGTTGGTTTTCCGTGGTAGTCCCTCCCCGAAGAGGCGAGTGGCGAGGCCAGTCCACGCGGGCTTGCCCTTGCAGGAATGTGCGAAGGCCCGCAGAGCTGACAAGACGCAGGCACGCTCGCAGAGTCTACGCAGCTGGTGGCGAAAAGTCTGCTGTGCTATCTCGACCAGCGTGATCCGTGCGGGCGCGGGCCTACGAGCTCTCGACCCTGTCATGTGCTTTCGACCTCTCTTCTCATGACTCCATCAAGCCTCCTCGACCCTGTCCCAATTCAAATGTTGTTTTCTCCTTCATCATGCACTCATGCACCTTTCCTTAGCCCGCTTGGCTCAAACCTGCACTGGTGCGGCACGTCCGCTACTGTAGTTCTTCTAGTGCCACTCTGTCGCATTCGCTGTTCGGAAGCCATGGCGATCCATCCCGCAGCAGTGCAGGCGCTGGTGGCCAAGGTCCTCCAAGGCCACTTCCTGGGCTTGCCGCCTTCCGACTAAGAGAAAAGGGCCTAGTACGTGGCCAGAGCCAATGAGCCGACTCGTCGCGATGTCCTGTTCTAGCAACTGTCGCCAGAGTGTTGGCGGAGCAGATGGGGGCCGCATCGTCGGCAGACTGCGCCGACACGCGCGTGCGCGCTCTCATCATCGACGGGGCAAAGCAGGGGCAACGCCCTTCTAGGAGGAAGAGGGGGCGCCGAGTGGATGTCCGTGAAACTGACTCCGTCGCAAATCACAGCCGCTTTGAAGGCGCAATCGCACGCGGCCGCGGCGGAGAAGCAGCGCGAGGCAAACATTAGCCTGGCGAAGGACCCAACCATATGCAGCTGCGAGTACCGCACGGATATGAGACGAAGGGGGGGGCACGCAAACTAGGCCCCTCTTCTCACAGGCACCGCGCCACTGGGGCCTTCGGTGGAGCTCCCTATGGGGCCACGAAACGTGTGAAGGGTGTGCCGAAATTGGTGGTGGGGAGGCAAGGGGACCCTGCCACTGGGGCCTTCGGTGGAGCTCCCTATGGGGCCACGAAACGTGTGAGGGGTGTGCCGAAATGGGTGGTGGGGAGGCATGCGGACCCTGCCACTGGGGCCCTCGGTGGAGCTCCCTATGGGGCCACGAAGCGTGTGAGGGGTGTGCCGGCATGCGGCCACTGGGGCCTTCGGTCCCTATGGGGCCACGAAACGTGTGAGGGGTGTGCCGAAATGGGTGGTGGGTGCCACTGGGGCCTTCGGTGGAGTGGGGCCACGAAACGTGTGAAGGGTGTGCCGAAATGGGTGGTGGGGAGGCATGGGGACCCTGCCACTGGGGCCTTCGGTGGAGCTCCCTATGGGGCCACGAACGTGTGAGGGGTGTGCCGAAATGGGTGGTGGGGAAGCATGCGAACCCTGCCACTGGGGCCTTCGGTGGAGCTCCCTATGGGGCCACGAAACGTGTGAGGGGTGTGCCGAAATGGGTGGTGGGGAGGCATGCGAACCCAGCCACTGGGGCCTTCGGTGGAGCTCCCTATGGGGCCACGAAACGTGTGAGGGGTGTGCCGAAATGGGTGGTGGGGAGGCATGCGAACCCTGCCACTGGGGCCTTCGGTGGAGCTCCCTATGGGGACGAAACTCCCTATGGGGCCACGAAACGTGTGAGGGGTGTGCCGAAATGGGTGGTGGGGAGGCATGCGAACCCTGCCACTGGGGCCTTCGGTGGAGCTCCCTATGGGGCCACGAAACGTGTGAGGGGTGTGCCGAAATGGGTGGTGGGGCATGCGAACCTGCCACTGGGGCCTTCGGTGGAGCTCCCTATGGGGCCACGAAACGTGTGAGGGGTGTGCCGAAATGGGTGGTGGGGAGGCATGCGAACCTGCCACTGGGGCCTTCGGTGGAGCTCCCTATGGGGCCACGAAACGTGTGAGGGGTGTGCCGAAATGGGTGGTGGGGAGGCATGCGAACCCTGCCACTGGGGCCTTCGGTGGAGCTCCCTATGGGGCCACGAAACGTGTGAGGGGTGTGCCGAAATGGGTGGTGGGGAGGCATGCGAACCCTGCCACTGGGGCCTTCGGTGGAGCTCCCTATGGGGCCACGAAACGTGTGAGGGGTGTGCCGAGATGGGTGGTGGGGAGGCATGCGAACCCTGCCACTGGGGCCTTCGGTGGAGCTCCCTATGGGGCCACGAAGCGTGTGAGGGGTGTGCCGAAATGGGTGGTGGGGAGGCATGCGAACCCTGAAGGGAGGAGGGCGAGGAGGAGGAGGAGGAGGAGGAGAAGGAGGAGGAGGAACGCGGGGACCTTCTCTTCAAAACAAGGACCCAACACCACATGATGGTTGGGAACTAACGCGTGGCAGCCTGGCTCCCAGGACGGCCCGGTGCAGGCAGTCTACGCCCTGGCCAGGGCCACGACGGAGGGGGACACTCCCAAGAAAGACGCCTTGAGCTTCGAGCTCACGGCCATCCGAGTTCAACTTCTGGTGCGTCGGGCTTCGGACGTTTCGTGTCGTGCGACTTGCTTTGTCGTGCCGACTTCTGCCGTGCGCGGGATTCCGTTTCTGGCCACTCCCCGCAGGACCGGCCCGCCGAGCTCGGCCGCCAGTGCCTCGCCAAGGAGAGGCACCCGTCCGAGGAGGCGCGCTCGCCCGCGTGGAGAAGGCCGCCAAGCTGGCGCGCGACAGGGCTTGGCCGAAGGAGAGGACTTGCAGGTGTCCTTCCAGCCGATGTGGTCGCGCGCGCCAAAGATCGAGGTCACCGTCGGCAGCGGCACTTTCGGTGAGGAGCACCGCGGTGCCGTGGAGGCGAAGAAGACCAGGGGCGTGGAGGACAGGGCCACCTACCTGGGCTTCGCCACGTTCTACGGGCACATCCTCGATTGGGGCCTCAAGATGGTCTCGGGCCTCGATTGGGGCCTCAAGATGGCCATCGCGGTGAACCAGCTGTTGGTCTGCCAGCTGGCTCTCGAGGGAGGCCGAGGAGCACGGGGGTCTCCGCGCGCGCGCGCTACCTCCTCCCGAGGAAGAAGCTGGCGAGGGCCCTCGAAGACGAGGGGGCCGGCCAGCTCGACGTCCTGCCGTGCTGCTCGGACCGCGACGTGCTCTCGGACGCCGATCGCGCCGCCGACAATCGGGCCGCCGAGACCGCGAGGGCGACGGAGAAGACGGGCCAGAACGCGTCGTCTGCCCGTGGCAAGGGCCCAGAGGGAGAACGGCCCGAAGGGCAGCGCCAACTGCGGCAGGGGGGCGGCGCCAGGCTGGAGGGTGAGCGCGCCGCCGCGCGGCCGCTCCCGGAGCCCCAGGCAGTCCGGCAACGGCGGCGCCAAGAATTGGACGCCCGAGACGGGTACGGACAAAAATGGGTACAATGCCCAGCGGCAGATGTTGTCCAAAACCAACAGCGGCCGCTGTTGGGCAGGCGGCCTTCTGCCTCAAACGGACACAGGCAGCGGCGGCGGGGACAGCGAGTCCGGTTCAAAATGGGCAGGAACTGCTGCTGAGCATTGTGCCCAGTCTTTCCGTGCCCATCTCGTCCGTGCAGACAAGAGCTCGCGCGGCAACTCCGAGGGCTCCCGCTGCCACGGGGCGCCCAGCGGCTGGCGCCAGCTCGGGCGTGCCCCCCTACGGGCGGGTTTTGGACGAAGAACGAAAAATAGTTTGGGAAATAATCAAACATATTCAAAAATGATCGAAAAATGGTCTCCACATTATTTTGATTATTTTGGAATGTTCCTCTTTGTGGAGGGACAGGCCCTGCTTAAGGCTGGCGGGGGAGCTCGCGTAGCGCGCAGAGGAAGAAATGGCCGGACACGACGAAGGCCGGCGTCCAAAACAACGTCTCCAGCGTCTCCGATCGCTGGTCGGAATCGCCCCCCGTCGCGCGGGGAGAGCCAAATGCGCCCGCCCGCCGCGCGCAACGCGCCCGCGAAAATGCGCCCGCCCGAAATCGCGCGCAAAAAATCTGAATGGCGCCGGCGTGGGCACGACGGGCTCGCCAATGGATGCGCCCGAATAGCCGCCGAGCTCGTGCAACGCCCGCGTCGCCCCGGACTGTCGCTCCGAACGAGGCCCCCGAGTCTCCGCCCGTCAGCGCGCTGACCGCGACGGCGAAGCAAGGTCCTCTGCTCGATGCGGGGGTGCAGGCGCTGCGAGGGGCAGCGCGTTTCGCAGGGCAACGCACTTGAACTTCGCGTGACGTGGATGGTCGCCATGCCCCCCCACGCGTGAGGAGGCCATCGCGGCGGGGCCGACCTCTGGCCCTGGCATGTCACGCGCCGCCCTTGCGCGCGGCGTTGGCCTCCCCCTGCGCTTCCCCCATCTGCCTCGCCGCCTCGACGTCGCGGCGGATCTTTTCGACGCCCGCTCCGTCGCCTCCGGGCGGACCGCGGCCTCCCTGCCTGGCCGACGAGGGCCAGGGAAGTGAGCTGGCTCGTCCCTGCTGACGCCGTGGGCCTGCTCGCTCTGCTTGCCTTGGCTCTTCTGTCCGCAATGGAACCCGCGGACTTGGCAGCGCCGCGTGATCGCCTCGAGCCCCGCCAAGGTGAGGAGGTCCACTTGATCGTGCTCCCCGACAAACTGGCAGGCTTGCACCCTGCGCCCATGCTCCTAGGCGCCGAAGTCCGTGCCGGGGAGATCCGCTCGCGATGCCCACCGGCGGCGATGGTCCATCGGGCCGCCCCCTCGCCTGTCCACGAGCTGCGTGCGCCTCGCGCCGTCTGTGGGCCTGGCGCGAGCCTGTCCTTGAACTCTACCAGCTGCATCTTCGTCGCCACCTCTCGCTGCAGTCGCTGCCTCGCGCCCTGGATTGCGCGGCGCGCCCGGCGGCCGCGCGTCCGAATTCGACGAGGGTGGCGAGCCTTCGACCTGGCATTGTGCGCCGCCGCCTCGTCGTTCCGCGGCCTCTCTGCGAAGGCCCGGCCGTTCGCGCGAGGCGCTGGGCAGAATCTTCGGAGCCCGCCCCGCGAGACCAGGAACGTCCGGCGCGTCGAGGAGCTCGTCGCCCGTGGCGATCCCCAGTCCAGCGTCGGCGGCCACCTGGCGGCTCTCCGGCGCTGCCGGCGCTGCGGGAGCTCGCGCTCTGCGCCCGCTCCCCCGGGGAGTCGCCGCCCCGCGGGCCCGCTCCTCGACCGCCTCCTCCGGCGCCGCCAGGGGCGCGGGCCGCTGCGGCTCAGGCGCGCCGCGGTCCTCCACCGCGCTGAGAATGCCGCCGCCCCCGACGCCGCTGGGCGGCGGCGGCGGCGCCGCTGGCCCGCGGCGCTCCTCCTCCACATCGGCCAGTGGTTGGAGGTCCTCGATGTAAGCCTCCCCGCCTGGTGTCAGTATGACAGATTCCACGGAGAAGATGGCAGGCGCGCCGAGGTCAATCTTCGGTGCCGCGGCTGGAGACCACGCGCGTTGTATCTCGCCCGCGCCGCGCCCTCCTCGCCGAGGACGCCGTCGCTGCAAGAGGGCCGCTTGGAGGGGCTTCTGCGCGCCGCAAGCTTCGCGCGCGACACGAGCGCCACGCGTGACCTGATCAGCCCTGCTCCCGTTAGGCCGCCCAGCGCGAACGCCTGCCACCAACCCGGCCAGCAGCCCTCTGGGGCGGCGCCCGCCACCTCCTCGCAAGGCGGGCAATCCTGGGCTGGCTGCAAGTCGGACAGCTCGGAACTCGCGGGCGCCGTGGCAGCCGCTCGCGCGCCGCCTGGGGCGCGCCGCGCGCCGCGGTCACCGACGGATCCGATGCAGTCCGCCGCGCGCCGAGCGCGCATTCAAGCCTTGAGCCCAAGCGGTTCGGTGAGAGCAAAAGAAGACAATTGCAACTTGTGACGGCCTTTTGAAACTCGCTACGCTGGAAACATAACGTGATGCAAGAGTCATCTACCAACATATGTATATGTATATGTACATCTGTATGTGTATGTATATAGATAGATAGATGGATACGGTTGCCCCGACATGATCATGCATTGCCCCCTCCATGACCATCAATGTGGGCTTTACCTGCTCCATTTCTTCGATTATTATTCCTATATGTTTTGTCTTTCTTTCTCTATCTTTTCGTCTCCTCTCCTCTCCTCCTCTTCTTCTTCTTCTTCTCCTCTTCGCTCCTTTTCCGTGTGAGTGACTCCTCCCCGTCACGCCCCGAAGCTGGTCGAAAGGGCGGGTCAACGTTTCGTGGCTCTTGCGTTAGCGCCGCGCGCGCACACGTCTTGAGCATTTGCAGAAACTTCGCGGATGGAAGGCGGTTCCTTTTCGAAATGTGGCTCTCGCCGTAGCGCTGCGCGCATTCGTCTTACGAGTGTACAACAATTTCACGGATCCTCACGGTTCGCGTGCCAGAAATGTGCTTTGGCACGATGTCGGCCTGTCAGGGCGCAACTGCTACGTTGTCTCGTTGTGTTGGAGTCCCAAGAGCTGTGTTCTAGTACGATTCATGATCGTCAAGACGCAACAGTCACGATGATTCGCGTTGCTCCTCGAGGTGGACTTTGCCATGGGAAACGTAGTCGTGGATGTAAACGAGCTGCAACAGACGCAGTTGCAGGATCTGTGCCAATAGCTTTGGTAGGAGCTGTTTGTGAGCTGTAATGAAAACTATACTATTGGCTGTATGGTTTGTTGTAGTAATTGTGCTATCCGCTGTGCTGAAAGCTGTCTCATTGATTGTGATATGATCCGTAACAGAAGTTCCAGAACGACGCAACATACGAGGACTAGGGACGGGGGCGGAAGAGAGCAATGATGATGATAACAGAAGATGGGGTGATAGTAGGGTGGCAGCGGAGGAAGAGAAGCAGGAGTCACCGCGCACCATGCAACCTGTATGATCACCTGGGGGGACACATCATTAATATCCTTGTTGTTATTCTTCGAGTTACCATACGTCTTAAACAAATAATTACACATGTGAATACAGAGACAAGCGAGAGAGAATCTATATATATATAGAGAGAGAGAGAGAGAGAGAGAGAGAGAGAGAGAGAGAGAGAGAGAGAGAAAGAGAGAAAGAGAGAAAGAGAGAGAGAGAGAGAGAGAAATAGAGAGAGAGAGAGAGAGAGAGAGATGGAAAAAGAGAAAGAGAAAGAAAGAGAGAAACCGAGATTTTCTGGCCGTCGCCGAACTATTTGGTGCCTCGGTCGGGGTGGGGCGGCTATGGCGCGCAGTCGTTTGTGAGCTTCGGAAACAAAGCTACTGGGGCCTGTCAGGAGGCCTCTTGGGGCCTCTCGGGAACCTGTTGGGAGCTTTTGAGGGCTTCGTTTGGGCCTCTGTGGGGCCTCTTGGGGGCCTGCTGGCTGTCTCGGGGGCCCCTTTGGGGCGGCTCAATTCGGTTTCCCTGTTGGACCTCTCAAATGGCCCTCTTGGGCCCTGGTTTTACCGCCTTGGGGCCCTCTTGGGGCATCCGGGGGCCCTCTTGGGGGCCTCTTGGGCCGTCTCAGGATGATCCGGAAAGCCTCTCGAGCCGTCTTGGACGCCGTGAAAGTGGAAATGTTGTGCCTCGTTGAACTCTCCTGAGAGGGCTGTTGGAGGCCTCTGGGGGCGTCTTGGAGGCCTGTTGGGCCGTTTGGGGGCTATCTTGAGCGTCTTGGATTGATCGCTTGGCGACTTGGGGCCCTCTTGGACCTTATGAAAGGCCTCTTGGAGCCCTCTAGGTCCTGCTTGGAGCCCTCTTGGGGCACTCTGGGGCTCTTGTGGGGCCCCTCCAGGGGCGCTCCGGACCCAGCTCGGCCGGCGCACCGGAGATCAAGTCGGATCCGTTTTTATCATGTGTATAGGTATCCATTATATACGTACAGCTATCTGCGTACATACGTACACCGTATTTACGAAGGGAGTCGGTTCTCAAATCTGCCAATCTGCGGCGGATGTGAAGGGGAACCCTGGGTGGTCGTCCAGGAGTGCTCATGGGAGACGCTTTTCCATTCGAGCCCCTCCTCCATTTTAACCTGCGGCCACCTGGGGCCCGCCAAGGTCGCCAATCCGAGGTGAATGGGCCAAGGTCATAACCGAGTCAAGGGGAACCCTTATCCTTTGATCCCTTCTCCGCCTAAGGGTGGGATCCTGGGGGGTGCGCCTCTGGGGTGACTCGGGCGATCTCAAAGCCATTTTGACAAGCTTTGGGGCATGCCGGTCCGCCAGAGCACTCACAGGGCCAACATGGGCCCTCTTGGTAATCTCGCGGAATGGCAGCCGCAAGAGAAGATCAACATCGACATCACACGTAACATCATCACCAGCTGCCGCAGCGCTTCACGCGCAACGCCACGTCGAGGATCCTCCTTGCCAGCTTCTATGTTTGCCCTGTACACGCCACCGCAATTCGAGCAATACCACTTGCGGAAATACCTGGCCGTACTCTGAGCATACACACTGCGGATTCGCCTTGTGATTTTGCGATGCGTTTCGCCACGATGCCATGGCGACAATTTGGATGCTAGAAAACTGCTTCCCGCGTGGGTATGATGCACCCCAACGATGAGAGTTCCAGAACATCAGCTGGACTTAGCCGCGGATCAACGGTGTTCATTCCCTGCTGCGCACAGCGGAGCCTCGAGCCAAGATGGCGACGGGTGGGGAGGAGGTGGAGGCTGCGAAGGATACGGAGGGTGAGGGAGGAAAACGTGGAGGTGGGCGAAAGAAGAGAGACGCGCAACCTATCGCCCCGTCCTCTGCCGCGGCCGTGTGCACGGGCACCGGCACGGCGGTCTTGTGCGCCTTCCTTGCGGGCGGGTCAGCGGGGAGGCCAAGCGGGCGGCTGGGCAGCATCGGCCAGTCTCTTGGCTGGCAGAGGATGCGATATTTGCTATGCTCTGGTTCCGCCCATGTCAGGGGCAGGAACCCAACAAAAGCAGTTCAGCAGACCCTGGCCAAACAGAAAAACAACACATTCGTTAAATACAAGTTTACAGAAGGTTACACACTGTGTATGTTCCCGCCACTATGCCGTCGGCACTGAGTGGGAAAGCTTCAGGTCCCTTCGAACTCTCCGTGTTGAGTATTGCAAGTGCTCTTTCGAAAAAGGGCCAGGGCTTAACTATCTGGGCGCTCCTGGGGGGGCTCGCGTAATTTTTGTCGAAAGGCTTCGGGAGCGTGCTTGGTATTCTATACTTCCAACATCGCCTAAGATGGTCCAAAGGCCCGTCTTAGAGCCCTCATGGGCGCCTCTTGAGTCGTGTTGGAGGCTGCTGGCGCTGCTTTATGAGCTTTAGATCATTAGGGCACACTCGATCCTTCAATTGCTTGAACTTTCGGTTTCAAAAACGCGAAGGGCGTCTCAACAAACCATCGCGATCGCTCCAGGACGGATTCCAAACCCCAAGAAGGAGGATACGAACTGACATGTCGAGATGGCCTCAAGAGCCCTCCCGACGACTCCGAAGCGCCCACGAGTGACCCTTGAAGGGTCCCCGAGAAACCCGCAGGAGGTCCCCAGGAAGGCCCCAAAGGCCCCCAGATGCCTCCAAAAACCCTCTAAGAGGCCCCTGAGAGGCTTCCCACGAGCCCCAAAAATGCACCCAAAAATCTCCTGACCCACCAGATAACTTCCAAGATCGTCGCAAGCACTGGCTCCTTCTGTGGGCCCGGCGGCATCGCGTAAGCCACTTGAAGAATGCAGCATTGTGTAGCTGATCTTAGCATCCCTGCACATTTTAATCAGCTCGCCCTTCAATTTGGGCTGGTTGGGGCGATGTTGTTGGTAGATGAAATCGACTTCGGTTTGGTGTTTGAGCGAGCTCGTTGTGTGCAGCGACTGCCCGGTCGGCGCCGCCATTGCTCTGGAGTGCGGCGACGCAGTCTTCCTTGCGGGCCAGGCTGCTTTCGTGGCAGTCCAGCAAGCTTGCCTCGTGGCGTGGCGGCTCTTGGTTGTTGGCTTGGGCTGCCCTGGAAATGAACGCGCACGGCGTTGACCCTCTGGAGCCTCGGAGCGCGCGCGGATACTGCAAAGGGGAGTTGTCACGAATCAATCGCACGCTGTGTTGGCGCGTGCTCACTTTTGCGACCATCGGTAATGCTGGCCGCTTCGTGTCGGTGGTGAACCTCTACCCGACGGTACTCGAGCCGAGACTGAAGAGAAGAGGGGAGGAGGGAGGGAGGAGGGAGGCGAGAGGCGGACGAGGATAAGGCTGGAGACTGCGATGCCTGTTCGAAACCGTAACGCAACGGAGGGCTGGGAAAAAAACTGCCCTGGGCATCGCGCGATGCACGACGGTCCTTCCGCCTCTTCCTCCATGCCTGCCTACCTCCTCTTTCCTCCCTCGCAAACGCTGGATCGACGCCAAGCGACGATCGTGGACTTCCCCAGCCAGGCGTAGGCCAGCAGGCCGAACAAATAGTTATTTTTTCTCTCTATCTCTCTCTCTCTCTCTTTTCTTCTCTCTCTCTCTCTCACCCTCCCCTTACATCTGAAGGGAAGAGGAGGACTTGTGCCGAGGAGAAGGAGGAGGTGGATGAGTACCAATCTGACCACATGACAATACAGATGAAAGATGCAGCAACTTGAATGAATGACGTATGGAAGGAGGTTGAGGAGAAAGATTTGGTATGGGGATCAGGAGAGGGAAGAGCAGAACGGGAAGGGGGATGAGGAAGATGAGGATGGCGATAAATACGGGGGATATTGAGGTGGAGAGCAGGACTTCTACCCCCCCCCTTGCCTCCCCTCCCTGTGGGCTCCGGCAGTCGAACCACATGTGGCCCATGAGCTCCTGAGCGTCGCCGCAGAGTTCGGCGAGAGAATGCTCAGGGAAGGAGGGGGAAGCCGAGGACGGGGAGGAAGGAGGGGGAGGGAAGAGAGAATGAAACAGAACGAGGAGGGGGGCTGGGGGAGAAAGAGGGAGATGATGATGGTGATGGTGATGGGGATGATGATGATGCTGATGATGCTGCTGATGATTATGATGATTCGGATGATGGTGGCGGTGATGATGATGATGATGATGATGATGATGATGATGATGATGATGATGATGATGATGATGATGATGATGACCAGGATGAGGAGGACGAAACATGAAATCCACTTGGAATATTGGGTGCCTCATGCATATTTCGACACCCGCGGAGGGGGCGAACAACGACCTGAACCGGCGACGAGCGAATGCGCCAGCGTGGCGACCTGGGTTTGACCGATACATATATGTATATATATATGACGCACCAACGACGAGCCCTCGCTCGTCCCACTGCTCTTCATCCATCCTTCGCGTCCTCCTCCTCCTCCTCCTCTTCCTCCCTCCTCCTCCTCGTCTTCTTCCTCGTCCTCCTCCTACTCCTTCTCCTCTCTTCCTCCTCCTCCTCTTGCTCCCTCCTTGAGATGCGACTGATAAGGCGATCTGGCCCCCCAACGTAAACTGGTAAACGCCTGGGACATGCGACATTACAACTTGAGTGCTTTGACAACAACACTGAGCACATGCTTTCAAATCGTGACTGTATACGCCATCAGAAGCATGACAATGCTGCACATCTCGGCTGCAAACTTCCACCTCCCACTTGAAACAACATCCCACATGTCGCTTCCTTACACCGGGTCCGGTGGTGCGGTTCACGTTGCAATAGACAATGTAGTATATGACAAACCTCCCTGTGGCATCGTGCGATTGGGTGATCACTTCACGGGGTGCCCGGGCACAGACATCCAGACAGAAAACGAAGACACATGGTGGTGCACTGTGAATCAGCACCAAGAAGAATGTGCAATACTTTCAGACTCCGTATCTTCATATCCTGCGTGCCGATGTGGGTGCTGCCCTGAACCCTACGCGCGTAGTGTGTGTGTGTGTGTATGTGTGTGTGTGTGACACTCTGCCCTTTCCATCCTCCAACTTACATCCTGTTTCCCAGCTGTCATGTGTTTTTGCAAATCATACTGTGTTGGGTCCTCGTTGTGAAGGGAAAGCGTCCCGCGTCACTCAATGCTTCCTCCTCCCATCCCCGCTTCTGTCCTGTGCATGGCAGCCAGTTCGGAACACTGCTCAAACGTTTCGTGGCCCCATAGGGAGTTCCACAGAAGGCGCCAGCGGCAGGGTCCGCATGGCGTACTCGCACCCGAATTCGGCGCACATTCACACGTTTCGTGGCCCCGTAGGAAGCCCCACCCAAGGTCCCGACGGCAGGATCCGCATTGCGTACCCGCACCCGACTCGGCGCACCCCTCGCACGTTCTGTGGCTTCATAGGAAGCCACCGATGACCCCAACGACAGGGTCCACATGGCGTACCCCCACCCGATGGGGCACACCCACACCCCTCGCGCGTTTCGTGGCCCCGTGGGAAGCTCAACTGAAGGCCCCAACGGCAGGGTCCACATGGCGTACCTGCACCCGATTCGGCGCAGCCTTCGCACGCTTCGTGGCCCCATAGGAAGCCCCACCGAAGGCCCTAGCGGCAGGACCCGATGGCGTACCCGCACCCGATGCGGCGCAACCTTCGTACGTTTCGTGGCCCCACAAGGGGGCTCCACCAGCAGGGTCCGCATGGCGTGCCCGCACCCGATTCGGCAAACTCCTTACAAGTTTGTGGCCCCATAGGAAGCTCCATCGTCATCGGCAGGGTCAGCATGGCGTACCCGCCCCCGATTCGGCACACCCCTCACGCGTTTCGTGGCCCATAGGGAGCTCCATCGAAAACGATTTTCAGAACTGCGGTGCTTACAACTGCATGTGGTTGGGTCCGTCGCAATGATAATTTGGTCCTTGTTTTCTCTCAGCTTTACCGCGCATATGCGTCCTTCCCGCCAGCTCTTCTCCCCCCCTCCTCCTCCTCCTCGACCTTATTTTCCTTCTCCTTCTCTTTCCTTCCTCCCCCATCCTGCCATTACTACTTTTGCCGCTGCCAACAGCTGCCGTTGTTGTTGCTTCCCATCACTCACGTGGATCGTGTCCCAAAGGGTTGCGCTACTTGCGGTCTCAATATGCCAATTCGCCTGCGCCCCCTCGCCCATTTCGGCACACCCCTCGTACGCCTCGTGCTCCATAGGGATCTCCGACGGACCCAATGGTCCGATTCGCATGCGCGCTTCGCCCATTCCAGCACCCCATCGCACGGGTCGTGCCCTCCTTAATGTCCCTCCAAAGAGCGAGAAAGAGATCCAATTACGGCCTCAGTGGGCCAATTCGCATGCGCTCCCTGCCCATTTCGGCACGCCCCTCGCGCAAATCGTGCCCACAAGGAGCTCCAACTCCTTGTCTCCGGCGGCACGCATTATACACAGGGGAGTGCCATCAATTGCGCAACACGCAGCTGCGCAAGGTTGAGCCCGTTGCCAAGATAACTTTACACACATTTGCCGTGGTCCCTCCCTGCATGCACCCGTCCCTGCCAGCCTCGTTCGAGAACCATGGGGCGTACCTCGTCAGGCCAATCGAGACTGTCGCTGTGGCAAACCCTGGCACGAAATAGGGTCAACGTGTTTTTGTAACAGTGGCGGCTGCACGACTATCCTTGTTGACTGAAAGTGCATGAGTCACCGTCCCAATTCACGAACAGAGCCAACTAAGTGAATCGCCGAAGGTTCAGCGTCTGTCAAGAAAGCGATACTGCCGTACAGATCGAAGCGAACTAAGGAGCGCGCACAAACTGTACGCTGAGAACTCTTCTTCTGAGCTCGTCCTTGCCGCCAGAGGGGAGAATCTCTCGATCACGTGCAATTATCGCGAGATGCGGCTGCACGATTTTGCAGAGGCCCATGCGTCGACTGTAGACTTTAGCGCATGATCGGGCCGTACTCATTCACGATGACGCAACAACATGTTGAATTACTTCGGGAGCCATTCTGCACAACAAATATCTGCAACACGCAACAATTGCGCGCACGACATCATAACAATATTCGGATATCGTTGTAATGACGTCCCGCAATCGACATCAAACGGGTGCGCATGAGACCTCAACCACATCATGCGGCTGCATACGGCTTCCCCCTGTAATGCCTGAATGATCGCGCTCCGTTTCCGCAGGCCAACGACCAGGACGGATCGCCCTACGCAGCAATTTGCAAATCCAATCTACGAGCACGGCGTGCACATCTGACTTGCCGTCGAGCTCTCGGTCGTGGCTGCACCCGAGCGGAAGCCATGTCTCGAGCTGGGGCGACGCTGATAGCTACAAGGCGAAGCTTGGCGAAGAGGCTCCATGTTGACACTCGCGGGCGACATTGGCCCAATCCCTCTGGCAACTCCTCCACATGGATTGATCAACTCGTTAGCTGAAACCACTGTACCGCTTCTCAGATGAAGCATTGGCGACTCCATCGCTTCCCCCTATCGCCACGTCGTCCCTGCTGACCAAGCGTTCCCGGTCGTGGGCTACACAAGAATCAAGAACCTCCTCAACACACGAAAACGGGAAACCATTCCAAAACGGCCACGGCTCATGAAGAGGTCGCTAGTGCCAATCCCACATTCGCTTGTGGGAAGCCCTGTCCCCCATTCGCCAGTGCCTGTCACCCATTCGCTGGTCGCCTGTCCCCTATTCGCCACTCGCCAGTCCCCCACTCGTCCTGTCACAATATTCCCCCCTCGTCAACCGCAGGTCCCCCAGTCACAAAATCCTCTATTCGCAGCTCCCCCATACGACAATCGTCTGTCTCATATTCGGCGATCGTGTTTCAAATCCGCCAGTAATCAGTTCGGCATGCGCCAGCCGCTTCTCATTTTCGCCAGACGCGGGTATCCCCTCGCAAATCGCTGAGCCGACACTCGACGCGACATGTCCATTAGTTCCCCCCTCCCCCCGAGAAGCTCACTTCTTGAACCTGGCTTCAAATTCACCTGCCCCGATGTGCGGCAGACTTGGGGGCGGTGTGGCGCTGACGCAATGCAGCAGGATATCGCGGCCGCCTGAAAGTCAAAGGTTAACCACGGAGGGACAAGAGCCAAGGAAAGGCCAGTGGGGCGGAAGGGAACTCCTGCCAGATTCCTCGGCGGCCCAAAGTCGTGGCGAGTCTTCCTGGTGACCCCAGAAGTGCAATCGAACTAAGGTTTTGACGTGACAAGCAAGGTGCGGATCGTAGGCCAACACATTGGATGCGTCGACCCGCGGGCAGTATACCCCCCGAGCGGCGTTTGCATGGGGTGATGACGGCGGTTTTCGGAGGGGTGCGCGCAACATATTAGAACGAGAGAACGCTACAACTAGACAAGTCATAATCAAAAAGAATCGAACGCCCGTGCCGTGGCCGTCGCCGCAGTAGTGTCGTACCGATGCCACAACAGTTGCCGCTGCTGCATCTGACGCTCCGTTTTTGCAATAGTTGCCGCTGCAGCCGCCGCCGTCATCCTCCCAATTAGGGGCCTGCTCTTGCTCGCCCCGTCTTCTAGTTTACTGGGTCCGCGTCGGGTTCCCTGCCGAGGGGGACTGCGAGTCAAGGAGAGAGAAAGAGCGAGGGACATATATATATATATATATACACATACGTACATATTCGCATACGTATATGCGTAGAGAGATAGAGAGAGAGAGAGAGAAATAGAGAATGAGAGAGAGAGGGAGAAAACAAAAGAGACAAACAAAGAAAGACAGAGAGAGATAATGCGAGAGAACGAGAGACAGAGAGAGACACACACAGAGACACAGAGAGACCGGATACGTAGACGGCGGTTCCGTCACAGCCGGCATCTGCACTTGCCAAAGCCGCAAAAGCACGCTTAGCGGTGGTGCCCACATTGGGGTACGGGGGACGTTGAAACAACCAGCCCCCGGCGCAAAGCGACTGAAGTACCAGGCGGGGTGCTGAGCAGGCGATGCGCCACGTTTCTCGGCGCCCCGCGGTCGAAGGGCCCAGGTCGGGAAAGCCCCGGTTGGCGGCCAGGGGACAAGGGCTCGGACGCTATGCGGCTTGCGGAAACGGGGCGTCCCCCGTCCCCCGAAGCCAGACACCGATGACGCGTGGCCGCGCGGTGAATCGGGCTGGCGAGAGAGAGAGACAGAGAGAGAGAGAGGGAGAGAAAGAGAGAGAGAGAGAGAGAGAAACAAAGAGAGAACACAATTTCTTAACAGAGGGCTCCAGCAACCAAAATCAACGGCGGCAAGGCTGAGCTTGCTCACGGCTCAGCCGTGTCGAACGCAGAGAGACTGCACACAGCGCACCAGAGCACGGCGCGGACGATCTCTGGGAGCCCGATGGTGACCGGGGGCTCGCAGAGACCAAGGACACCATTGGCGGGAGGGCGCGTGTCTCATCCCTGCCCTCTCCGTCCGCGAGGGCGCAGAAGAAAGGAAGTGGCATCCGGCGAGCCGGCAGCCCGATGTCCATGCAAGAGGCGCAGAGTGCACCATGGCTTCCCCGCCACAGGCCGGATCCGAGAGGACCCGTGCGGATAGTGCACCCGTCGGCAGCTTTTGCAATCCTGCCCGCGGCACCAACAGACCACGAGCAGCAGGATTAAAGACCAATGCAAAGGGCATCGGTGGAAAGTGGAACCCAGCCTGGCCAGAGGCCGCAAGCAGGGCTTGTCCCTCAAACGCTTCGTCGGAATCATTCGCCCCCTCCCGATGGCAAAACAGCCACTATTAGCGGGCTCTCCTCCTCCCCCTGCACGGTTTCCCCCAGGGCCGTAGGCGACCCGAGGAGGAGGAGGAGGAGGAGGAGGAGGAGGAGGAGAGGAGGAGGAGGAGGAGGAGGAGAGGAGGAGGGAGGAGGAGGAGGAGGGGGAACGAGGGGGAGGATGAGGAGGAGGAGGAGGAGGAGGGAGGAGGAAGAGGAGAGGAGGAGGAGGAGGAGGAGGGAGGGAGGAGGGAGGGAGGGAGGGAGGGAGGGAGGGAGGGAGGAGGAGGAGGAGGAGGAGGAGGAGGAGGAGGGGAGGAGGAGGAGGAGGAAGAGGAGGAGGAGGAGGAGGAGGAGGAGGAGGAGGAGAGGAGGAGGGAGGAGGGCGGAGGAAGAGGAGGAGGAGGAGGAGGAGGAGGAGGAGGAGAAGGAGGAGAAGGAGGAGGAGGAGGAGGAGGACGGGTCGCTGAAGCCCCTTCGGAGAAACCCTCTACCTCCCCCACTCGCGGAGAGACTCGGCCACGTGTTTCTGGGCCTGCCTGGCGCCCTGGATGCAACTGACAACCTCGACGGAAACAACAACTGTTGTGGGGGTTCCTCCTGTGGGTAGAGTGCCGCGCCGACCCTGTACAGATGCGACTGGCGAGGCGACTGAAGCGGTGACACCTCCCGAGCCCATCCCCACCGTATGGGAGAGCGGAGGCTGCTGTCTTGATGCAGGAGAACTGGCGGGTACGAACGATGGCTCGGGAGGTCCCAGCTTCCACGACCACAGCTGATGCCCCTCCGCTGCCAGGAAGAAACCAGCGGCTAATCCGAAATTCTCCTGTCGCTTCTTGGAAATACGAGGCCGACAGGGCGCTGCCATATGGCGAGGATCATCAGTAACAGTACGCCCGCAGGCGCTGCATAATAAACTATGAAACTTCGGCCAGTGCTGAAGCGAGTGGCTGGCATTGAGCACTGTACCCCCGCTCGCCCGAAACTCCCCACTGACCGCCCAAAGCTCGCTTACCTGGGCAACCAGAGCACTCGGAGGTGCTGCCTTGCTGCATTCAGAGTTACAAGCTTCGAGTATGTGCTCCTGGATATTTGATGGCATCACGCATAAACATATATCTTTGCAGCAGGAACGCAATTATGTTTGCGATGCTGTATGGCTGCGACCATCTAAGTCCCTCGAGGCCTCCTGGGTCAGACCAGCTTCAATCTCAAAGTGCGCGTCTCTAGTGCCAGACTTCGGCAACACAGGCAGCATAACACAAGCTAGCTTCCACGCAGCCTTCGAGACATTGATTATCTGGGCCCAAGCTGTATCTTTTGCATCGCTGCACCAGGGGTGCATGGAGGCTCCTATCTTAGCAACTCTATCGGCATGGTCGTTGCCGCGCCTTAGACATCTTCTCTTGGAGAAATGCCGGCCTCGTCAACGTCGGGATGGGTCTTCGCTTTGTGCACTCCTCGAAATCATGTGGAGCACTGCTGAAAAACTGAAAGATCTCGGCAAAAGGCGTTACTTCCGAAATTGTTCGTCAACGCGGCCTGTGCACGGCTTAACCAAGTTTAAACAATCCGAGAAACATCCGAGGGGCCAGCATTCAACTCACCCGCTTGGGGGGTGGCTTTATAAAAGGGCTGGGGCGGGGCCAACAATTTGACCAATCTTATCCCCCTGCCTATCGACCTGAAGTGCCCCCGTACTCGCTCTATGGAGCTCGTGAATGATGTGCCTCCTGGAACTGCCGTGAACGAATATATCCCTCTCCATGCCAACGCCTTCCCCGGACAAATCGACCGAAGTAAATGACGCAGCGCCAGCAGCAACAGGCCGAGGGTGAACATCACCAGGGTGCCCAAACAGAGTTAGAGGAAAAAGGAGGACTCCATCTTCTGATTGCACCATTAAAGCCTCCTGAATGAGCCCCTCGCCAACAAGCTCCTCGCGCTCGGCCTGGGACGCAGGGCGCTCCCACAGCCAGTGGCGCTCAGAGTCGACGACCGATGCCAAATCTTGCGCTTCGCTGACGAAAAGGGGGTATTCAACATCGGTCGCTCGCCGAGGTGTCAAAATCGCACCGCGCGCCAGGTTCGAGCGGGCTGACACGATTCGATCGCATGTGCGATTTGACCGCATCGTAGCGAAGTTTAACACTCTTGGCCCCAGCCTTGGTGGACACCGAGCGCTCGAAGGCACGGGGCGTAGCCTGAAGCAGCAGCGCCTTGGGGGGCGCAGTGCTGAACGGCGCGAAACTAACCCCCTCCCCAAAATCTTGCGCCAACGTCGCGTAGTTGCTCATCCCCCATCCTATCCTGGTAAAAAGGGAGAGCTCGAAGGCTCAGATCGGCCCCTTGACCTGGCGCCATCCGGAGACGTCGGAGAGAAACATAACTTCAGCCTTGGCGCGATTCCTTGAACTTAGCCCTAATGCGTACGAGCCCGTATGTACCACCCAAGCCTTTTTGGCGTGCCCCAATATGGGTGCGATAGAACCCCTCCATCCAGGGTCGTCTTCAAAAATGCACAGAGTAGTCAAGGGGCGGCCCTTGGCTCGCGGGCGGTTGACCCTGCCGGCGGCCTGCCTGACTCGCAGCAGCTCAAGGTCAGGCATCCCGTGGACCCCGCCCCCATGAAGGGGCCCTGGGAGACAGCCAGAAACAAAACGTCGCCTCGAGTAGCGGCCCAAACACTTAGTGACCTTCAGACGCTGACGAGCAGACTGCTTCCGAATGTGCATGCTCGCCCCTGGCTTGCGACATCTCCCTCTGTCCCGCTTGGGCCCCGCCGACGGTGTCATCGATCCCAAGGTTCACCACCGACCCCCAAATGGGTCCACAATAATTACCCAGGACAGCCCGAAGTTCCTTGGGGGCAGCACGGTCCGAATCAAATGTCCGCCAGAGAAGCCTTGCTGCCAATTTCGCTCTCGAGAGCCGTGCCAGCTGCTGAAGGACCTGAGTCGTCGATGTACTTACTGGTCGAGGTTCACGTGGGCTGGAAACTGCAGGGCATGTAGTCCACAATAGAGACTAACGAATGTCGTCGCGAAGCTGCATCCAGCGAGCCCCTTTCATTCGTGGAGCAGCATATCTAAATCGAACGTCCCGTAAAACTAAATCATCCCCAAACCGGGGCGCCCGCGACAAGCCCCTCGGGGGCCCCGGCATTCGGGCCTGGGCGCCTGGCGCCAGACGACATCCAAGGCGACGGCAAACCTGAGTCCAGAACAGAATTACCGAGTGTGCTCGAGCTCCCATTGCGTCGCATAGCACCGACGACGGCGCCCTCAAAGCTTGAGCAACTAATCGGGTGATTCAATTAGGCGCCACCCCCTAATGGTTCCATGGGTACGAAGAAGACAAGCTGGATGACTTGCAATTGACCAGCGATGAAGAGATAACTTCCGTCGCCGGAAAAGATCAACCTTTCCTGGGCCTTTGTCTGGTAGCCAACTGCAGCGTCGCATGTAGAAGCCGCGCGCAAACTCGGCAGAACGAGAAGCGCGCCGAGCCGACGCCCTTCCGATGTAATCGAGGTCCGGGGGGGGGGAGGGGGAGGGGTGTTCTTTTGATTGTCTCCGACGCGTCGAAAGTCAACGGGCGCGGACTCGGCCTGCCAGAGGCCGCTGATGCGGGTGGCTTGGGTTTACGAAAGGGCAAGAGGGTCACTTTCCCTCCAGCGCTGATTGTGCTGCTTGGCATCCGCCTGGGAGCTGGCTTCCTTGCGAGGTGGGCGCGTCGCCCTCCTGAGTTGATATGTTCCAGCGGCCGTCCCTGGAATCCTTCCCTGACATCGTGACTACCTCAACTAATCTGTTGCCCGTGAACTTCTGCTTCCATGGGCAGAAAGTCTGGCGCCTCAATTGAACGTTGGATATCGGATGCAGCAGCTGAGGCCAAGGCTGTGCACCCGGCGCGCGTGGGCTGGTGGGGGCCAGGCGCATCTCGGACAGCGGGAGGTCGCGGCGCCCAGCTGCCTCGCTTCGCTGGGGCCGCTTCGAACTCGCACGGGGAAACTTAACGAATGGCTGCCTAGATCTGTGGTCGAGCCACTTGAGCGCCGCTGTCGCAGGATACCTCGGAGAAACCTCGGCATCGAACGCAGGGGCCCCATGCGGGTCCGGGCAACGGGCGCGGCCCCCCCCCAGAAAAGGGGCTCCGCCAGAGCAGCGATGGTTATCTCCTTCTCGGCAAGCTAGCAAACTTCGAGTGAAGCTCGTTCAAACCCGCTTGGGCCCACTGAATCCCACTCCTCGGTCCCGCCCAGAACTGCCGCCCCGAAATCGAACGCCCCTGGCCATGGCGGGGAACTGGCGGCGGGGCCGACGGGCCTTTGGACTGCGAGGCGGGGGCGTCCGCGAAACTGCGGAACTTGCAACTCAGACGCTCTGGGATGGCAGTGAATCCTAACAGGGGGTGCGTGTCTCGACGCAGATGCCCAGCCCTGCCGAGACAGATTGGGCGCGCTGAACAACCTCAGGCGTCGCGACGAGACAACTAACCGAGATCTGGCCACATTGGTTAATGCAAAGACGCCGCCCCGACATCTGATTTAGCGAAGGCCCCGACGTTTTCACCGAAGCCCGGTTCGATTGCGTTTTCGGGGGGAATTGGCGTCGCCCCCCAGAACGGCTTCGTTGCCCCGGGCCTGGACGCTGCCCAGACAGCCCCCAGGATGCTGCGTATGTCGCCGGGGCAACGAATTTAGTCATTCAAATGTGTAAAACCAGGATGTATGGGGGACTCGCTGGATGAGTTGACGAGTGCGCGCGGCGCCCGTCCTGGAGCAAGAACGGCCGGGGAAACGAGCGGCAGAGCGCGGTGCGCGCATGGCCGCGAGCGGGTGGGGACTGCAACTCCGCCTATGGAACCGCCTCCGTCGCTGCGTGGAGCTTCAGCGAATGTCCCTTTCCATCCGTGGCGAAGGCGCCAACTTCCCGCTCCGCAAAGATCGCCCCCGCCAGCTGCTCGGCGTTCTTGGGGGGCATGGATGTGAGATGACGCGGGGTCCACTCTTTCGTCGGGCCCCGGCCCGAGCAATCGCGCGATCCGGAAATCGATCCGAAATTATTCTCTAGGGGTCTAATCGGCCCGCGCCCGCGCGCCTGACTAGATCTGTCGGCCCCCGCCGTGCCGGCCCAGAACTGTCGGCCCCCACCTTGCCGGCCCCAGGATGCGGAAGTGGGCCCCGACTTGAGGTCGCGCCGCCATCCCGAATTACGCTTCCAGCTCTTACGGGCCCGGGGCTCTCGCCCTGTGCCCGGGAGGGGGGGATATCATAGAAACATCTTAGATGGGGTGCAGGCCGAGAGATTTCCCGATGTGGAAATGCACGCAGGTCAAGGAACAAATACCTCCCTGGCCAGGGCTCTACCTGGAAACCACGCCCCCAGGAGACTTGGACCATGACCCAGCGGGGGGCTCAACTTGTGATGGGCGCTCGGCTGCCGAGGCTCGGTCGGCTCGGCCGCGCGCGTCTTTAGATTCGCTGGCACCTGCGGCGGTGGAGGGGGGCAGGCCCAGCGGCGGCGACGCCTTCAGAAAACGCTTCCCCTTGCTCCGCCGCTGCCGGCCGCAGCTGGACCTGCGTCGGCGCCGTCGGCCGCGTCGGCGGGCGCGGGAACCGTGTCGGGTGTGCGAGCCCGAGGGGCACCCGTCTCCGACTCCTGCCTCTCCTATGACATTCTGGACTGGTGCTCGGCGTGCTCCGCGTCGACCTGGCCCGTATTCTCCAACGCCTCAGGAAACAAATCATTCGACAACTTTTGCATTGCTTGTTTGGTTCCCAACAGTCCTGTGGTGTTGGGCCCTCATTTTGAAGGGGCAGCGCCCCGCGTCCTCTCCTCCTCTCCTCTCCTCCCCCCCTCCTCCTTCCTCCACTTCCTGCCCCTGCACTCTGCGTTCCGCCGTCGCCTTTAGCATGGAGGGCTCCGCCGAAAGGCCCAGTGGCAGGGTGCGCGTGCGCCCGACGCCCATTCTGACACGCCCCTCACACGGTTCTTGGCCCCGTAGGGAGCTCCACCGAAGGCCCCAGTGGCAGGGCCCGCGTGCGCCCGACGCCCAATGTGGCGCGCCCTTCACATGGTTCGTGGCCCCGAAGGTGGATCCACCAAAGGCCCCCGTGGCAGGGTCAGCATGCGCCCGACGCCCATTTAGCTGCATCTGGTTGGGTCCTTCGACGGTCTAATTTTTCTTGTCATGATTTCGTCTCCACGGCATTTGATCTTGTGTTCGGCTCTGATTTCGTACTCCTGGCAGCTGATATACGATTCAAAAACGAACGTCAGCGCAACGGAGACTTCACTTTTGACAACCTCTTCGATTGGGACTTTGGAAAGTTGGCGGGGCATCTCGATCTGCACGCATACAACATCACCAACCAACTCCGCAACCATGGCACGATACCCAGCTTCCTGAAGCTGCTGCCGCACCGACATGACGCGCTCCATATATTCGCTGGTCGTGTGCAACTGGCGCTCCAATCCTGTCTCATCGTGCAAACGCTGCTCTAGCTGCAACACGACTGTATGGGCGGATATTGCTCGCTGCTGGATTTGGGGCGCCACCAGCTGCGCGTCCATTCATGTCCTCAAACATCTGCTTGTGGCGGGCAACGTTCCGAGTGTCACCAGCCTTCTCGGACAGGGTCATGAGCTGCTGCGACACATCTTTGGACAAGTCTGGACCGTCGCCCTGGAACCGAACACGACCAGGAGCGAGACACCGATCATGGCCAACATCCCCGATTTGACGAAGAGACGAACGGCGGCTTTCTGAGCTGCCGCGACTCTGGTCCTGGATGCCGATCTGCTTGGGCGCCTGCTGTCTCCGCTCCTTGCATTGCTTGAATTTGGTGAACTGTGCATCTTTTTTTCTGCAGCCGCATAACCGGCATATCCATCAGGGGCGACCGCGATCTGGTGGAGCCGGCGGCCTGGGCGAGCGGTGTCCACCACTGCTGCCTGAGCCACCTCCGTCTTTGCCCCAGGGTGGGGATGACCCGCCGCTCCACCACCCTGGAGGCGGTGGCAGGGTCGGCGCGCTATTTCACCAGTGCTCCTCGCCCAGCGGCATGGCGCGAAATAAGCTATGGTGCTGAAAGGGTGGGCCGAGCCAGGCTCGCTGACACCCAGCCGTCCTGAATCGTTGGTGATCGCAATATCAAAGATATCTGAGCCAGAACGGCCATATGTATGCGAATCTAGAAAGAGAGAGAGAGAGAGAGAGAGAGAGAGAGAGAGAGAGAAAACGAGAGAGAGAGAGAGATAATGAGAGAGAGAGAGAGAAATACACAGAGAGAGAGAGAGAGAGATCATGAAAGAGAGAGAGAGAAAACATACAGAGAGAGAGAGAGAGCGAGAGAAAGAGAGGGAGAGAGAGAGGGACAAGAGAGAGAGAGAGAGAGAGAGAGAGAAAAAAGGGACGAGAGAGACATCTATATATATAGTGAGTGAGTGAGTGAGTGAGTGAGTGAGTGAGTGAGTGGGACAGAGAGAAAGAGAGAGAGAGAGAAAGACATTGAATACGTAATAACAAGAGAAAGAGAGATATAGAGACAACTTGTGTGAGCGAGGGAGACAGAGATATAGTATTAGAGCTACAGGAACAGAAAGAGATAGACGACACAACAACTACATCCATACACAAGGAGGGAGGTCGTGAGAGTGAGGGATATACATATATATACATGTATATATATATATATGTAGGTACACACAGAGAGAGAGACCAAGAGAGACGGAGAGAGAGAGAGAGAGAGAGAAACAAACGATATTTATATACACAGGCACATCGAGAAACATACGCGTATTGAGAGAGGGAGAGAAAGAGAGAGAGAGAGAGAGATAACGAGAGAGAGGTACATACATATATAAGAAGAGAGAAAGAGAGTAAGATAGAGGTATATAATAAAGGCGGTATACAAACATATACATACATGAAGAGAAACATGTATGTATAGAGAGAGGGAGAGAAAGAGAGAGAGAGAGAGAGAGAGTGAGACAACATAACACATACATGCGTAAACAAGGAGAGAGATAGTGAGAGAGACAGAGGGAGAAACACACACACATATATATACATATACATAGCGAGAGAGAGGGAGAAAGAGAGAGAGAGAGAGAGACAGAGACATGCAGCGACACATACACGTATATATATATATATATATATATATATATATATAGAGAGAGAGAGAGAGAGAGAGAGAGAGAGAGAGAGAGAGGGAGAGAAAGAGAGAGAAATATAGAGAAAGAGAAAGAGAGAGAGAGAGAGAGAGAGAGAGAGAGAGAAAGAGAGAGAGACGAAAAAAGGGAGCAACAATCAACTGAGCAAGACTGAGGGCGACAAACTATCGAGCCGGGGGTCCGAAATGGGATCGCGGGCTGGGGCGGCGCGGCACGGGCTCCTGGTCCTCCACGGGGAAAGGCTGCTGCCCTGCCACCATCTCGTACAGCATGCAACCGGGACGCGGGAGGAGCGTCGGCGAGGGGTAGGGAACCGAAAAACGGCATAACCATAAAAACTCGGACGTCCTCGCGGATCTCCCGGATCCGCGCTGGACGCCCCTCCCTGGCGCGGGGAGCGTGCCGGGAGCGGCGCCAGAGGCCTCCGGAGAAATCCGCGCGGACCTCCGAATCTTTATGTTTATGTCATTCTTCGTTCCCCCAAAGGGGGGGACATGCAGCCGTGACGCGAGGGGGGGTCGGCAAGGGGCTCCGCGTTTCCAAGGTTTATTTCATCGCGGCCTTCCTTCTCTGCCTCTCTCTGCTTCTCTCTTCTTCTCTTCCACATCTCTCTCGTGCCTTTCCTCCTGCTGCTGCTCTTCCTTTTCCTCCTCCTCCTCCTTCTCCTCCTTCTCGGGTGGGTGATGGAACGGAGTCTACTGGGTGATCCTGTTATTACCGCTGTCGTTGTTTTTTTGGCGCCGATTGGGAGATGTGGTCAGGTCGAGTCAGCACTGAATAATTCTTTGCGGGGTGCTTTAGAGGGAGGAGAGACGGGAGAGGCAGGGCAGGAGTAGGAGAGGTTTCTGGAGGAGATGAGGAGGCACGCAATGGAATGATGAGGATGCCGACCCTGTCCAACTCATCCATCTCAGTAGGGATGGGTAGCACACATATGCGGGGTATGCGTTTGCTGGGGCAGCTCATGGCCACTCTTTTTGTTTACGTTCCCGCAATCGATGTAGCTGCACACGGTGTGCGAGAGCGCTAGTTTCAACCAACGGTTCGTCCAAATTCACAACGCTGATCTTCATTAGTTTTCAAACTCAGCGGGGCACTCATAATGGAGGAGGCGGCGGGGGAGCGGAGTCGGATCAGTCCACAAACCGTCTGCGCCTTGAGCAGGCACAGATGTGTATTCATCACGTCGCGCACAGCATGCCATACACTGCGGACACCATCTAGCATGCAATTCATAACTTGACATGGCAGACGACCGTGTATCAGCTCACTCTGGATGTGTGAAGAAAGAAGAAGCAAGCAACCTAAAGCCCACATGTCGACGCCCTCGTCCTGCATACCAGCGCGCACCATTTGTAAAACAAGTATCCGTGGAACCCTGTCGTGCACACCCTATTCCCTCGCGACAGACTTTCAACCTTGCTTGCACCTCTGTCTTGTCTGAGGCAACCTCTTCTGACTGTCCCGTCTCCTCATTGCATTCATGCCCCTGAGCCTTGAACACTCACGTGGCTCAGCACATCAATCGAGCGAAATTCCACTTCCCAGTCAAGTTTAGCTGCTTGCTCTCGCGCCATGTTTTATGTCGTGCTTGCTAGATCGGCCCGTGCCGACAGCTTCCGAGAACTGCCAAAGGTCTCGACAAGACTGCATGGGGCTCGCTGGACCTATGGCTTTCCCCACACCCTTTTAAATTCTCCCTGGGGCCCATCCTGGATGCCCAGGAGCCGCACGAGCTGGCTCGGGTCCCCCGCACAAGCGTCGAGCAACTTGCTCAAGGAATCCACCCGCACGCTCGGAAATGCTGAAGGAGCCCTCAAAGACCAGCCATATCCAATCCGGCGGCCCCCGCTTGCAGGGGGATGGAGAGGCCTGTGAGATGATTGGCTGCCCCCCTCCCCATTTCAAGGCTGGACCTGAACGGTGTTTTGGTGATTTCGTGGGCCGTTTTCGTTTCGACTTCGTTTTGCGGTAGAGGCGGATTGAAGACAAAACGAGGGAAAACGAAAACAAAACGAAAACGAATAACACCGTTTAGGTTCAGCCCTGTCCCATTTCCTCCTCCCCTGGGGCCCAACATCCCAGAATACAGGGCGGTGGTGGTGGGGTACGCGCTCGTTGACGCACCTCTTGAGCCCTCCGAGCCTCCAGATCGACCCTCCCCGTGGCCTACAAAATGCCCAAGATGCCGTCCAAGATGGCTCTGGAAGGGCTCCAATACGACGGAGAAGCTTCAAGAAAATTCGGGATGGCATCAAGACGGCCCCAAAGACGCCCCAAGAGGGCCCCCCAAAGGACCAATCATTGAATGCCATTGTTTATTTGTATGATTATCGCTTTCTCGCCGCTTCGGGCTTCTGAAAACCAGACGGTCCAGGAGGCTCCCCAGTCCAGCCCAATACATTCTACGAGGCCCCCAAGAAGACCCAGAGGCGGCCCAAGAGAGCACCAGTACTGCCCAAGAGGCCCCCAAGACACCCAACACACGCCCTTAAGAGGTTCCCAAAGAGGGCCCAAGAGGGTAAACTCGTGTGGGCACCCTGAGCCCGCTCCCACATGATGGCCTGCAAGACACAAAACCACCCAAATGCTCCTAAGAGGCTCCCAACAAGCCTCCACAAGGCCCCCCCAAGACCCCACGAGTTCGGAAAAGCTTACATTAGTCCGCCCCGAAAGCAAAGCTTCAAATATGCTCGCAGTAATCCCCGCAACAGACGCGGAGGAAACATAAGACACACGGAGAGAGAGAGAGAGAGAGAGAGAGAGAGAGAGATATATATAGAGAGAGAGAGAGAGAGAGAGAGAGAGAGAGAGAGAGAAAAAAAGAGAGAGCGAGAGAGAGAGAGAGAGAGCAAGGACAGCACGGAGTAGCAACGAGCGACTCGGTGAAACAGTCTGGCTAGTATCGACGGGCGGAGAAGAGTTCGGGTGGGAGATCGACTGCGTGATGCCCCAAGCTTGGGTTTCTTTTTCGTCGAATGTACGAGCGCTTGCTAGACTGTTCGTATATTTACGGGACATTTTGCGCATTTGTGTGGGTTCGACGGAAGGAAGTTTCAATTCTGGGGTAAATCAATTATGTAGTCAGTCTCCTACTCGAAATGTCGACGGTCGGAGAAGGGCACCACAGAAGTGGAGGCAAAGAACTGCACGGCTTCCAGCCTGCAGGCCGCTGGCCCGTCGGCATCAGGAGGTCTTACATCCCTGCTCGAAGACGAGGATACGGGAGCACGATGTCCGAAACTAGAATCCACTTAAGCTAAGAAAGTGGACTTCGCTCGCAGCGTGTTCTTGTGGCAAGTAGTCCGAGCCAGTGTTGACGATCATCTTACGAACAGGGAGATCAAAGAAAACGCAGAGGGTCCCTCCAGACTCTTGATTCTCTTCAGCTACATCTGGAGCCCATGGAATCGCAAGACTTTTATTAAGGCTTATGAGGTGTAGGTGCATATGAGAAAGAATGGAAAGGGGGGGGCTTCCGAAGCCACCCCCTTGGAAAGGGGGCGCCCGGCTTTACACGGAGGGGAAAAGGGCCCCCTCCGATGGTAAAAAAGGAGCCCCAGTGAATCCCTGGCCTCAGAGAAGACGAGGGGGAAGGAGTGATGGTAGCTTCAAACAGACCCTCCCCCACGGGCAAGGGGGCGGAGGGGAAGGGGTGGGTGGGGGGGCTTTGGAAGTCCCTAGTTTTTGATAAGGGGAGGGGGAGCTTCAAGCCTGGGTACACCATTTTTGTCCCCATTTTAATTTCCGGCTCCCACGGCGGTGCGCTTTCGGAGCTCTCGATATCAAGGTTCGCATGGACTAGCTGCGTTGGGCAATCTTTCCTTGACCTGGGCCCCAGATCAGGCCTCTGGTTGGCCTTTTCCCGAGACGACGACATGAGCCCTGTTCGGAACGGTCGGAGGTAAGATACGAACGCACTTTTTACAAGCGCGAAGAATCCCTGTGGCACGAAGAAGGAGGATGAGGAGGATGAGGAGGATGAGGATGAGGATGGAGATGAGGATGAGGATGATGATGGTGATGATGATGAGGAGGAGGAGGAAGAGGAGGAGTAGAGGGAGAGAGCAGCGAGGGAGGAGGGAGGGAGGGAGGGAAGACATGAACACACACGCCATGAACACCCGCCCCCGTCGGAGCAGGCGAAGGCGCGTCGCTCGCGGCGCGCCGCCGGTGCCGTGCTCCCTCCGCAGGGTCCTGCGGCCCGTTGTCCCACTGCTCCGGTGCCCAATGGGCCATCGTCCCGCACTTGGTCTTCTGCTGCCGCTTCATCTGCACCTGCGGGGTGCCCGCCGCCGGCCCGGGAGCCCGCGAGCCGAAGGAAGGCCTCCCCCCCCCCTCGGGGGCGAGGGATGGCGGAGGGGGCAGGGAGCGGGAGAAGACGGGGGAGGGGAGAGGCCGTGGAACGGAGGTGAGCTGCTGCCTGTGAAGCTGCGGGCAGCCGACCAAATTCAATGGCCTCTATCGACGGGAAGCCTTCGTGCACGCGGGCCTTTGGCCTGGACCGGCTCGTGTGCCGTCCTCTGGCAGGCTCTGTGGTCATCTTGCGAGACACAACAAGACGCATGGCCCTTGCGCATGCCACGAGGGTCTTGTGTCCACCAAGGCTCCTCTGGGAAGACCAGCTCGATTCCATCGTTTGGACGTCGCCCGTCACCTTTCTTGCCTTCCCCTGTCCCTCATGTTCCTCCGTTGGAGAACGGGTCGTCCGGTGGAAGGAGGATAGACAAGGGCAGGAAACGTGAGCGAAAAGGGATGAGACATGAACGGACGTGGGCGGGAGGAAGTGAGACGGGATACAAAAAGTAAGAAGGGGGGCTTGTCCAACTGCAATGCTCGGTTCACACCGCGAATCCACCAGGGGAGGATAACTGGGTGCAAACCTCTCCCGCTTCTAAATCCAATGATACCCCATGGCTCACTCGACTATCCCCTTTCGAACATTTGGACGATGCCACGACTCGGGCGTTCTACGGGAGGTCGGGAAGAGAAAGAAAAGGAACAATGAGCCTGGCGTCGATGTGTCTCGTCCTTAACCACCATGGCGCCAGCCATTTCTTGCCACCCGACTCGAGGCTAGGGTCGCAACTGTGGACAAATCATCATGCGGAAAACGGCTTGGAGTGATGGGCAAAAACCGTTGCCCCGTGGTCTGTGTTGGACCCATGTGCGTCGCCGGCCGAAAGCATGGTGGTGGAACTTGGCGCAACCATCGACATCCCCATGCCAACCATGATGTTTTCAATCCATACGTATAAAGGTATGTGTACAATGGGATGCATACGTATATTGAAAGATTCACGTGTGTATGTATACATGTGCTTGAAGATATGTACAACTGTATGTGTAAATGTGTATGTGCTTACACATGCTGGTTAACTATCGATGACCCCGAACGATATTTTTCCACACGATTTCGTTGTGCAGCCCATGTTATGCAACATACGCCGTGCACTATATGTGATGCACCACATATGAGTGCAATCTGTGTGGTGCAACCGATGTGGTGCGATATGTGTGATGAAACCTATGTGTTGTAATTCGTCTTTCCAAACTTCTATTTGTCAGCTCCTCTGATCGCGCAATCATCCCACCCACCCGCCCGCAACTTGGTTTGCAAATCCCATGCGGCGGCGATTGCGATGACTGCTCGGCGCTGGCTGGCGCATCGCCGCGGCCGCACTGGCGCGCGCAGGCTGGCGCGCAGAGCCGCCAGCTACTCTGGCGCGGTATCGTGACGACGTCGACAATCGCAAACACGATGATGATAGCAGCGATGCTGGTGACGATGATGACACTGAAGACGGCAAGCGCAATTGCGGCGCCAATGCTGGTCACGCCGATGACGATGGTAATATCCTCGCGTCGGTGATGACGGTTGTGATACGAGTTTCGACATGCGCGCGCGGCCGACGCGCGCGAATGACCAGCATGGCATGATTTGACAGGGATCGTGCCTCCCCCCAACACGCGCGCAAAAACGTGCGAATGATTTCGACATGCGCGCGCGAAAGGCCGGCTTGGTCGTACTTGATGGAACTGTTGAACAACCGCTGGGTTTCTGAAGAGTTCGCAAGAGCGCGAATGCAGGCTTTTCGGACAATTCCTGCTGCGAAACCATTCGGTTCCCATTTGTTGTCGGAACACTGGAATGATTGTTGTTGTTCTTGTTCTTGTTCTTGTTCTTGTTCTTCTTGTTGTTGTTGTTGCTGTTGAATGTTGAATGCTAAACAATTATTATTGTTGGACCCCCCAAGCGCCCTGGCGCTCTCGCCTCGGCGCCAGCTGCATTTTCATCGAAACTGAGGCTCACACTCGAGCGGTTTGGGCGGGCGCCAAAACCGGCCCCTCAATAACAACAACGCTCCCGCTCGAGACTTTCTCCTTTTTTAGTCAGGGCTGGTGCTCCTGCTCGCCGCTGAAAGCCGCCGTCCCAACAAAACCAGCGCTACCGCTCGAGACTTCCTCTCGTTCTAACTTGGATTGGCGTGCTACTCTTTCTCTCATCGGCGCCGCCCCCAGCAACAACAACGCTCCCGCTCGAGGCTTCCTCCCTTTTTTACTCAAGGCGGTGCTCCTCCTCGCCGCCAACAGCCGCCGCCCCGACAAAACCAGCGCTCCCGCCAGAGACTCCCTCCCATTTTACGGTGGACTGGCCCCCTAGTTTCTTTTGAATTGGCGCCGCTCCCAGCAAGAACACCGCTCCCGGTCGAGGCTTCCTTCCTGTTTCCTCAGGACGGTGCTGTTCCTCGCCGCCGACAGCCCCCGTCCCGACAAAACCACGGCTCCCGCTCGAGACGTCCTCCTTTTTTGCCCAGGGCTGGTGCTCCTGCTCGCCGCTGAAAGCTGCCGTCCCAACAAAACCAGCGCTACCGCTCGAGACTTCCTGCAGTTTTACCTTGGACTGGCGCGCTACTTTTTCTCCTATCGGCGCCGCCCCCAGCAACAACAACGCTCCCACTCGACGCTTCCTCCCTTTTTTACTCAAGGCGGTGCTCCTCCTCGCCGCCGACAGCCGCCGCCCCGACAAAACCAGCGCTGCCGCCCGAGACTTTCTCCCGTTTTACGGTGGACTGGCGCCCTACTTTCTTTTGAATTGGCGCCGCTCCCAGCAAGAACACCGCTCCCGGTCGAGGCCTTCTTCTTTTTTCTTCAGGACAGTGCTGTTACTCGCCGCCGACAGCCCCCGTCCCGACAAAACCACAGCTCCCGCTCGAGACGTCCTGCTTTTTTAGTCAGGGCTGGTGCTCCTGCTCGCCGTTGAAAGCTTCCGTCCCAACAAAACCAGCGCTACCGCTCGAGACTTCCTGCCGTTTTACCTTGGACTGGCGCGCTGCTCTTTTTCTCCTATCGGCGCCGCCTCCAGCAACAACAACGCTCCCGCTCGATGCGTCCCCCCTTTTTTACTCAAGGCGGTGCTCCTCCTCGCCGCCGACAGCCGCCGCCCCGACAAAACCAGCGCTCCCGCCCGAGACTTTCTTCCGTTTTACGGTGGACTGGCGCCCTACTTTCTTTTGAATTGGCGCCGCTCCCTGCAAGAACAACGCTCGTGTTCGAGGTTTCCTGCCTTTTTCCTCAGGACGGTGCTGTTCCTCGCCGCCGACAGCCCCCGTCCCGACAAAAGCACGGCTCCTGCTCGAGACTTCCTCCCTTCTTACTCAAAGCGGGGTTCTTCCTCGCCGCCGACAATCGCCGTCCAAGCACAACCAGCGCTCCATCTCGAGATTTCGGTTTGTTTTACGCTGGATTGCCGCCCTCTCTTCAGCAGTGGCGCCGCCTCCAGCAACAACAGCGGCCCTGCTCGAGATTCCCCCCTTTATATTCAGGGCCAGATTATTGCCTCGCCGCCGGCAGCCCCCATCTCCACTAAGGCAACCCTGTCGCTCGATACTTCCTTGTGCTTTACCCTTGGCTGGGGCTCCACTGGCGGTCTCGTATCGGCGCAGCAAGGCGCGGGCATGCGTTTTCGAAGTGGGATCTGTTGAACTTCCTAAGAGCAGGTGTTTGCAATACCTCATTGGGCGGGAGATCTGGGAATGGGAACAACGGGCCCCGCTGTAAAACACAACTCCCCCATGATGGGGATGGTTATCATGATGGTCGCATGCTTCGTGTGGAAACATCGCGCATGAGGGTACAATGATTGTTGTTGCTATTGTTGTTGTCATTATTGTTTTTCGGTTTTGCCAGCCCCACTGCTCGCCGCGGCCTCCCTCCCCACGCCCTTCTCTGCGCCTCCCAGACGGCGCGAACCAAACGCGCGCAGTAGTTGGCGCCCTCGGTGCAAGGAAACTTTTTTTTTTTTTTTTTTTTTTTTTTTTTTTTTTTTTTTTTTTTTTTTTTTTTTTTTTTTTTTTGTTTTTGTTTTTTTTGTTTTGTTTTTTTGTTCTCTGTTTTTTTTTGTTTTTTGTTGTCTGGGCAACAAGGAAGAGTAGCCTTTTTTTTTTTTCTTCTCAGAGGGTGGGGGGATGCTCGCCGCGGCTCCCCTCTCAGCACTCCTCCCCGAGCCGACAGAAACAAACGATCACAAACAACCGACCATGCACAGTGTGTCCTTGGTTCCCAGACAAACATCACTACGCAACGCTTCCTTGCACTGAGGGCGCCCAACGCTATGCATCTTGTTATTTCAAATCGATTTCGGGTGGACCGAGAGGGGGGGATGCTACGCTGCTGCCGCGCGCCCAAGCTCTAACTCCGAGCCCTGGCGTGGAAGAGTCCTCTATCCCCCCTCCTCCTCCTCCTCCTCCTCCTCCTCCTCCTCCTCCTCCTCCTGCTCCTCTTCCCCAAATTTATCCTTCTCATGGTTTTCCGCTTTCTCCTCGTGCTCCTCCTCGCCCCGTCCTCCTCCTCCTCCTCCTCCTCCTCCTCCTCATATCGTCTTCCTTCCTCCGTTCCCTCCTCTCCAAGCCGGGAGAAACGCCCTCCACCTTGCAGCCTCGACGGTTGGGCTGGAAGGGGTCGAGGTCCAGCGCGATTTGCAACGACCAGCAACGGTACCACTACCAACGCCCCCAGCCCGAGGCTGCATTGCCCCGCGAGAGGAGCAGAGGATGAAAAGCAGGAGGAGCAGGAGGAGGAGGATGGATGGATGGGCCATCGTCAAAGAGGCCCTGGCGGCCGTCTACAAGACCGCCACGGCCCCAAATGTCGTGAGGTCCGCTGCCCGCGGACGCCCGCGCCCGCGCGCCCCGCGCGCGGCCGTCGCGCCCTCGTCGGCGGCGCCAGAGGCGCGTCCGCACGCTCCTCGCCAACACGCGCGGCCTGGGAGGGGGCTG